TTTTTTTTTGTAAAGGAGTAAGTGCTGCTTGTAAATTATGTAAATTTATATGTACATTCATGATAATTTAAATACATGTATTGTAATTTTATATAAAGTATCTTGTTAACACAAAAAGTAATTGTGTAATTAGAGTACAATGTAGTGCAAGATTTGTATTATCACTTGTGTAGGCAGAGCATCTGTAGTAGTTGTTGTTTGTAATCGGGGTGTTAGTAGTAGTCGTATTGTAAGTAATGTCAGTAGTGGCGTAAGTGATATTAGTATTGTAAGTAATGTAAGTATTGTAGGTAATGTTAGTATTGTAAGAAGTCTTAGTAATGTAAGTAATGTTAGTATTGTATGCAATAGTAAAAAAAAATGTCTGGGAAGCAAAAATCATGTTAATAATAAATGATAATTAACTACTTATAGCGTGTCTTTTACAAGTACTGTTCAAAGGCGCGGTAGAGGATTGAGGCAAAACAACCAAAGTACATCATGTTTCACTCGCCCTGCCGTCTTCTATCCCTAATTCCACCAGCCAAGGCGAAATCATTTAGTGTCACTAATTTCTTATAAATGTCTGGCGTAATTTTATGGAAGGCCATTTTTTTTTAACCAAGTTAAACCAATCTTTCACAAGCAGTAAAACTAACCTTTTGGCAAAACTGTCTGTAATTCCTGATTCAGCCCCTTGTTTGATTCTTCTGCTTTTTCTGAAAGAAGAAAGCTGTCAGCTTTTTGCCAGTTCTCAGGTTTTTGAGATATTATAACTTTCCTCGGGCAATGAGTCGATTTACCTTACTGAATTCTGCGGTCATTAATATTGAAAGTTCAACAAAAAGCAGAATTTCACTTACTTAACCTTAAGGTTACAGTATACCTTCAGGGGTGTCTCGCGTGCGAGCGATGTAGCGCGTGCAGTTTAAGCTTTAGATACCTAAACCCCTATATCAAATTAAAGCTTATAGAGCTGGCTATCAAANGGTGTCCTGCATACTGCTAGGATCAACGCTATCGAATTCATCGTGAGTAGTGCTAAGTTAATAAAGATGGGACTCAGAATTTTTCTTTGTCCCACACTCGTGTCATGTTGATTAATTCACCTTCACATTTCATTACCGAGCTTAAAATTCACCATCTTTATTAACTTATAACGGTCGTATTGTAAGTAATGTCAGTAGTGGCGTAAGTGATATTAGTATTGTAAGTAATGTAAGTATTGTAGGTAATGTTAGTATTGTAAGTAATGTAAGTATTGTAGGTAATGTTAGTATTGTAAGAAGTCTTAGTAGTGTAAGTAATGTTAGTATTGTATGCAATAGTAAAAAAAGAAAAAGAAAAAACTTTGGTCGCTAAATGCGAACTTGTTCTTTAAGGAACCTCACCAGTTAGCTAAATTCACTTAAAAGGTCCACTTAAACAATATTTGGCAGAGAACATTTAGGGTATTATTTAGGGTATTATTATTTAGGGATTTAGGGTATTCTTTCGGGCATGTTCTCTCCAAAATGAATTTTCGCACGAACGTCCTTAAGCCTGGCTTAACGGGATATAACTAATTTCGGTGCGGATCTCATGGGAAAACTCTTGATTGGTTTAAATCGTATTTGATTAATCGCACACAACGGTGCTCCGTTAATGGATGTCTCTCTGACTTCACCACTCTTAAATTATTTCTAATTTACATTAACGATTTGCCTAACTGTCTATCGTTTAGCGTACCTAGAATGTATGCTGATGACACCCACATTACTTATGCTGGTTCTGATTTGCATCTGATTCAGNATGAATCAATAAAGTGTATTTTTAATTTCTTCTTTAATTGAAAATCAAGTAATTTTTTGTCAGACTCATCAAGAGATTTTAGGTCCCTGATATCTAATGTTGAAGATTCCGAAGTTAGTTCTGGTTTTGGGCAATGAATAGGATTGTTTGGAAGCAAGTCTCGTATTATAGGCATGAATTTCATTAACTGTAGTAAAATAATCATTAAAAGCAGATGGCAATAGCAAAACTGACAGTGCATTTTCTTGTGTTTCCTGCAGTTATTTTGTTTTTCATTTGGCTCAGTTGTAACCACATACAATTCGTATAAAATACCCAGTTTTTGTTAAAATCCGTCCGAGCTAACTTAATATATCTAGAAGAATGACAAATTACAGAATATTGGAAAAACCGTCTAAACAACCTGACTTTTTATCAATTCAAAATGTCACGCAATATCATTTGGTGAGCCACAGGGAACGATCTTTGGTCTTCTTTTATTTCTAATTTATATTAACGATTAGCCTAACTCTCTATCGTATAGAGTACCTAGAATGTATGCTGATGACACCCACATTACTTATGCTGGTTCTGATTTGCATCTGATTCAGTCTAGTCTATCTCACGACCTTGAAAAGCTAAGCAAATGGCTTGTGTCTAACAGACTTATCTTGAAAGCTGTTTACCAGATAAACATTTATTCGATTTCACACAATTTTAGGAACCAAATTTTGCAACGATTTCACACGGTTTTAAGAACTACACCTTGAAACGATGCCCTGACAATCCAAGTGTCCTCTACATTCGAAAACGTCCAAGAAGTTCCGATCCGTACTGCACACGCCGAGGATTAGAGTTAAACTTATTAAGTACTCTACCTGATACACTCGCACTCTCCATTGATAATATTCCGATTGAACAAGTTTCCTCTGTGAAATTAGTTGGAGTATAATTCATTGAAAATCTAACGTGGCATTCACACATTGATAAACTGTGTAAAGAGATCGCTTAGTACTGCAATTGGAGCCATAAAGCGAGTTAAGTCATTTGTACGTCAATCTACCCCACTCTGCATATACAACTCACTAGTTCAACCTCACTTTGATCACTGCAGCCTAGTCTGGGGTAATTGTGGCAAAACATTATCTAACAAGGTACAAAAACTACAAAGCTGTGCTGCACGAGTAATAACTTCATCGGGCTATGACGCTGATGTCGATTCCTTGTTTCACAAACTCAGCTGGAAAGACTTGCGATTTCAACATCATATTTAGAAAGCCCTAATTAATGGTTTTCAAGTCTTTAAACGGTCTGGTTCCCGAATATCCCACTTCTAAATTTGTAACACGAAATGAATCAAATTACGTTCTGAGGGACTCGGTTAACAGACTTGTTGTTCCCTTTCCGAGAACTAATTACATGAAAAATAGTTTTAGTTACAGCGGCGCAACCCTTTC